CGCAGTGAAAAGTTCAAAGGTAAATCAGTAAAAGTAATTAGTAGTTTAGATAATAAGTAAATTATTTTCTATAATAAGTTAAAATTTATTTGAATGATAGAGAATAGTAGAAATCATAGTTGAATTTTTCGTTTTTCAATCGTAAATGGAATTTAAATCCGTTTTTGATTTTGAAAAATTTATTATTATTCTCTAATTTTTATTAAGCATAAAGATTTAGTTTATTATGGATTTTTCTTTTTAAAGATTAAGAATAGCACAATTTTAATTAAATGTGAATTTTCACAATTTATGTTATTATTAGAAAAATAAAGTGTTTAAGTTATTTTTAAGCATATTTTTCCTCATTAAATCAGTTGTAAATGATTTATATATTATGAGAGATATTAATATAATTTAAAAATAATTTTTGAAAATTATTTTCTAATTTTTAAAGAAAAAGCCAAGAATAAAGAAATAAATAAATGAATTGTGGGATTTTTTTTATTTGTAGAATCTTAATTATTTGAAGCTCTTAATTTTTATATTAATGGTGGTTAATTTTTATGATATTTTATGCATTTGTTCAGCTAAAAATTTAATAATATTAGTCAACTAAAATAAAAATTAAGAGTGGGACATTATTTGGTATATTTGTTGAAGAAAATAGTATTTAAATGATATTTAATTCATTTTGGTGAAGTTTGTCCCCTAAAAATTTTCCTATAAATAGGATCATTCATCAATGGTGGTACTACACCTTAGAAATTCAGATTCTTATGTTATAATAGAAAGAAATAGTAAGAATTGAGTTTTTACGAGAAGAATCGAGCAATTTCGAGGAAATCAAGTTGCATTTGCTTTGTTTTCTCAAGAGTGGAAGAGGTATGTTATCAAATTTTAATCAATTATAGTTAAGAATTATAAGTGTTTATATGTGTTTTAATATGTTATCATGTTAAGAAATTATAATTTTTATATAGGCATAATGGCAGGTTTTAACACGACCTTTACGTGTTTGGCAATTTAATCACGACTTTCAGACTTTGTCAGAAAAATACATGACCTTTACATTTTTGGCAAAATGATACACGCCGTTAACGACCGTTAACAGAAAGCTGACGTGGCGACCACGTGTATCCGCGTCAGCGACCATGTGGCAAATTATGACACGTGGCAGGCTTACAGAATTGCAAAAATAATGCAAAGGGGAGGATTTGAACCTTGTAACTCTTATATAAAACATGTGGTTATAAACCACTTGACCCAACACAACTTATGTTAAATATCTGACTTCATTTATATATATACAAACATCATTTTATTATATATTATACTAAATATATAATATATATTATATATTATACTAAATATATAGTATATATTATATTATATTAAATAAAGAATATATTATATATTAAACAAATAATATATTTTATTGTACTACGTAATTTAATATATTATTTACTTATTTAATATATAATAATATAATATATATTATTGATTATAATAATATAATATAATATAAAATAATATAATATAATATAATATATATAATAATATAATACTAAATAAATAATATATATTATACATAATATAATATATAATAATATAATATTAAATATATATATAATATGTAATATATATAATATAATATAGAATAATATACGATATATAATATCATATATTATATATAATATAATATATAATAATATTATATATAATATATTATATATAATATATTATATATATTATATTATATTATAATATATACCAATATATTATGTTATAATATATTATTATTTATGATATTATTTTATTGCTTTGTATATTATATTATTATAATAATATTATTATATTATTATAATAATATAATATATATTATATTATTATATATTAAATAAATAAATAATATATTAAATTACGTACTACAATAAAATATATTATTTGTTTATTATAATATAATATATACTATATATTTAGTATGATATATAATATATAATTTGTTTAATATAATACAATATACACTATATATTTAGTATAATTTATAATATATTATTTGTTTAATGTAATATAATATATATTACATATTTAGTATAATTTATAAAATGATGTTTGTATATATATATAAATGAAGTTAGATATTCAACATAAGTTGTGTTGGGTCAAGTGGTTCATAACCACTTGTTTTATATAAGAGGTACAAGGTTTGAATTCTCCCCTTTGCATATATTTTTGCAATTTTGTAAGCCTGCCACATGTCACAATTTGCCACATGGTCGATGACGCGGATACACGTGGTCGCCACGTCAGCTTTCCGTTAACGGCCGTTAAAAGCATGTACCATTTTGCCAAAAATGTAAAGGTCATGTATTTTTCTGACAAAGTCTGAAAGTCGCGATTAAATTGCCAAACACGTAAAGGTCGTGTTAAAACCTGCCATTATGCCTTTTTATATATATAAGTATATGAAATAAGATTATAAAGTAAGTTCAATTAAAGTTCATGTTGTTGCAGCATATGTTTGCTTGTTTTTTGACCAAGCTATTGAATTCCAAAAATTATGGGAATTTCTATATGAGATCATAATTATGTTGAGAATAGAACTGTAAATTTTCAGATTAGTTAGAGTTAAAATGAATTTTATAAAAATCATTAATTAAGGTGTTGTCCAGTGAAAAATCTGTGTAGTAATGATGACTTGTGGTATTAAATTATCTTACTTTTGATATTATTTTGAGTTGAGAATTTTATGGTCAATTTATATATAAGTTAAGAACTTCCAGTTTAAATCTTATATTTATTGGACTTGTGTAACATGCTATAGAAAATAATGAACATAAGTGAGTCAATCTCAAATTTCAACAAGACAAGCATTATTTAAAAATTTGTATCTCACTTTATGGTTATTATTTTTATGAGGAACTTTACAGAATATTTTTTGATTTAGTTGAGAGTTAATATATAAAGTTTTAGAATATTTAGATTCTTGTAGCATGAGATATAGATTTTTAAAGACAAGTATGCCAGTAAATTTAATGTTTTGTTATAGTTACAACTTTGAAATAATACATCTCAGTATATGAATATAATTTTAAAGTGTTTTTTATATGGTAACTTTATATATATGTTGAGAGTACATATGTAAAAGTTAAGCTTAAAATAAAGTGGATTGAGCAATTACTAAAATTATAGATAAAGCCTGTTAATATGATTTTAGTTTTGGATTTTTCTCATTATATTAATTAATGTGAAATTTTGAAGAGCATGTATTAAAATATAGGGTTAATTGCTAAATAAACCTTAACCGTTTTGCGTTTGGCAATTATATCTCAATCTTTAGGTAATTGCAATATAATCTCGACCTCAATTTACTTATTGCAAGTCAAACTTAATATCGGTTGGAACTTCAAAAAATTGGTCGATTTGAAGGTGGTTCGAACAGAGAGGAGCTCATATTTACCGATTTACTCCAGATCTAGGAGGAGACTCATCACCGGTAGCTTACATTGACGTGGAATTTTTGGCTTTGTGCGTGGATATACATTAAATACGTGGAAATTTTTAACTTGCTACGTGAATGGCATAAAAACCCGTGTCTATGGACGACTTGGACACAAAATCAATCCACAAATCCCTAAAATCAATCACTCTGCACCCAAATTTGCAACAAGTAAATTGAGGTCGAGATTATATTGCAATTACTCAAAGATTGGGATAAAATTTCCAAACGCAAAAAGGTTAAGGTTTATTTAGCAATTAACCCTAAAATATATGTGAGTATGAATGATTAATTTTCATTTTAATATATATTAATTGTATATTTTTAATATTTTCCGAGATGAGTTAGCCAGTATTGAGCATAGTATATTTGTTGTATTTGTTATATTGTAGCGTGAAAAGTCGGCTACCAATGAACAACACCTACGTTTTCAAATATTTTCAAAGAAGAAAGGTGGGGACCCAGCCTGGGTATTACATTGTGTATAATAGCAATTATCATGTCCGAGGTATGTATATAATTTATAAAGAATTGGTGGAGGCCCCAAGTTGCCTTAGTAAATATCCATCAGAATTATGCTCGCCCAGTCAATACTGGGTTCTGTGGGAGGCGACCCCCAGAAAGAGATCACTAGAGAACCGGCCAGTTACCGGTGGTTGCACAGTTCAGTTACTGATACCAGTCAGATACCGGGAGATTAAGTACAAATATATATATACCAACGATCATGATATTGATATTATTATTGTTGTTTACTTTAATATAGGTTTTTGCGAAGTACAGTGGATTAGTACTCACGCCCCACTATTATCATTTTCAGGTAACAGAATCGGTGCGGAGGTGTGAGATCAGCTGTGGTGGCGTTGGTCGTGAATTGGTTCAATTTCTATTATGGACATTTAATAAGGTTTCAATTTGTATTATTATTATGCCACACTTGCAAGATTTCCGCTACATTTTCAGATTCAAACATGTGTCACATTAACTTCAGACTTAAATAATTTATCTGTTCGCCAGTATGAACAGGTCCAGTTTACATACTTGTTTAATATTTAAAATTTGTTTTATTTATGTCTAAACTAGTTGCTAGACCATGTTTTTAAGGAATTTTTTTTTTCTAAAGGAGATAAGTTTTAGTAGCATCCCTACTAAAGTTATTAAGATTTCAAAAAATTTATGAGCATTTTCGAAAAAAGTTTCGAAAAATCTACTCTGATAAGCGAGGTGTTACAGTTGGTATCAGAGCTAAAGCTTAAATGCTCTGTATACTAAAAGTTCAAGTTTCAGAAAGAAAGTTTCAGGAAAACCGACCACACCACACTCACACCTCGCCAACTATCAGGTAAGTGTTGTTAAAAGTTTTTATGAAGTTTAATTATATGCAAATTACTAAGTCTATGCTCAATAAGAATCAGATATCTGAACTTTAGAAATCAGAATAGATGTTCAAGATTCCTAGAATTTAGCATGCCTTTTCTAAGAATGCTAAAGTTATTTTTTAATCTGCGGTAAAGTTTAGATGGCACCCCAAGCTCGGAGGGAGTTGACGACAGCAGAAGTCATTGCTCAATTCCGTGGATACAATCCTGAGAAATTCTCAGGACAAGGAGATCCTCGTCTGGTTGAGGAATGGATTCAGGGTCTTGAATCTATTTTGAGATCACTGAATGTTCAGAAAGGCATGGTATTCTCTGTGCGCAACTTCAAATGATCGGAGATGCTAGATTATGGTGGAACTCCTACTGGGGCATGCGTCCTAGGGAGAAGGAGAATCTTACCTGGACTCAGTTCAAGTAGATGCTGGAGGAGAAATACTATCCGGCTCACTATCGAGCTGAGATGGAACACCAATTTTTGGCGTTAGTCCAAGGTAATCACTTAGTTGGCGAATATGAGCGGGAGTTTACTCGCTTAGGATCATTTGTTACTTATTTGGTGGACACCGAGGCAAAAAAGGCAAGATGATTTCTAGAAGGGTTACTACCAACAATCCGTCACCATGTAACTGGACACTGTATTTAGACTTATGTTGATATAGTTGTCAAGGCTCAAGAGGTAGATGCAAGTTTCCAGAGGGGTGATGGGCAAGTCCACGTGCAGCCACTCGTTCAGGTTCCAGCAATTCCACCAGTACAACCAATGCCTGCTCAGTAGGCAAAGAATAAGAGCAAAAGAAAGTGGAAAGGTCCACAGAATAATCAGAATAATAAACAGAGGCAGCAAGGTCCAGTTAACCAGCCACTGTTTTCAGCTTGTGGCACATGTGGACGTACTCAACGAGGAGAGTGTCTAGCAGGACAGAACATTTGCTATCATTGTCGGAAGCCTGGACATACCATCTGGGATTGTCCAGATAGGCAGCAGCGGCAACTTTAGAGGCAGCCTCAGCAACAGAGGCAGACAGGACAACAAGCTCAAGTGTATACTGTAGAGCAGGCTCAGGCGGAGCAGAACCCAGGTACTATGTTTGGGATGATTATTCTAAACGATATTCCTATTTTTGCATTGTTTGAAACAGGAGCGGCGCATTGTTTTGTGTCAAAACGATGTATATAAGCCATAGGAGTTCAACTCATTAGCACTGTTGACCCTCTTGAGGTAAGTCTAGCCTCAGGAAGAAAAATAGTGACGAGCTATAAGGCGGAAAATCTTAATCTCAATATTGGTAAGCGAATTTTTAAGGTCGGTGCATATGTTATCGAGATGAGGGATTTTAACCTCATACTCGGTATGGATTGGTTAACACGTTATCGTGCTGATATCTGTTGTCATGACCGGGAGGTAATTCTTTATTTTTCAGAAGATGATCAAATTTCTTTCTATGGCTCGAAGACTCGAACGTTGCCTCAGGTGATTTCCATGGCGAAGGCGAGGAAAATCATAAGACGTGAAGATTATCATGGTTACTTGGTGAACATTGTTGAGGAAAATTTGAGAGCACATACACCTCATGACATTCCAATTGTTCGTGAGTTTGTGGATGTGTTCCTGAACCAGTTACCAGGAGGACCACCCAGCAAGTAGGTGGAGTTCACTATCAATTTTCTAGGAGCAGCACCAGTGTCAAAGACACCATATCGAATGGCACCGAAGGAATTACAAGAGTTGAAAACTCAAATTCAAGAGTTGTTGAAGCTTGGTTTCATCAGACCCATTGTTTCACCTTGGGGAGCACCTGTTTTGTTTGTCAAGAAGAAGGATGGATCCATGAGAATGTGTATTGATTACCGGGATTTAAACCGGTTAACAATAAAGAATAAATATCCGCTCCCAAAGATAGATGATTTGTTCGATCAGTTGAGTGGAGCTTGCGTATTTTCAAAAATAGATTTACGCTCAGGCCATCATCAATTGAAGATTAAAGAATCTGACGTAGCTAAAACTGCGTTTCAAACAAGATACGGTCATTTCGAGTTCGTGGTGATGCCGTTTGGGGTGAGTAATGCACCAGCGGTGTTTATGGACTTAATGAATCATGTTTTCCATTAGTATTTAGACCAATTTGTCATCGTCTTTATTGACGATATTTTGGTCTATTCCAAGAGTCGATAAGAGCATGAGCAACATCTGAGAGTTGTTCTCAGTACCCTTAGAAGAGAGAAGTTGTATGCCAAATTCTCTAAGTGTGAGTTTTGGCTAATGAAAGTGGCATTTTTGGGCCATATTATCACTGAGAGAGGCGTAAAAGTAGATCCAGCAAAGATAGCCGCAGTTCAGAATTGGAAAGTTCCAAAGAATCCATCAGAAGTTCGTAGTTTTCTTGGATTAGCAGGCTATTATCGTAGATTTATTGAGGGGTTTTCAAAGATTGCTCTCCCTTTGACAAATTTAACGAGAAAATCTGTGAAGTTCGAGTGGTCCAATCGTTATGAAAAGAGTTTTCAAGAGTTTAAGAAGAAGCTTACAACGACTCCAGTGCTAATTATCCCGGATCATACTAGAAGTTTAACTATTTATAGTGATGCTTCAAAACAGGGTCTTGGATGTGTACTCATGCAAGATGGTCAAGTTGTTGCATATGCTTCACGACAATTGAAGCCACATGAGCAGAATTATCCAACCCATGATTTAGAGTTGGCAGCAGTAGTGCACGCATTCAAGATTTGGAGGCATTATCTCTATGGTGGCCAGTGTGAAATATTCACTGATCACAAAAGTTTGCAATATATATTCACACAAAAGAGCTCAATATGCGCCAAAGAAGATGGTTGGAGCTTGTGAAAGATTATGATTGCACTATCCAATATCATTTGGGAAAATCGAATGTTGTAGCAGATGCCCTAAGCCGTAAGGTGAAGGGTGGGTTGGTCTGTTGTATCACTCAACAAAATCAACTTATTAAAGAATTCGCTAGGATGCAGATTGAAGTTGTCAAGACACTTCGTAAGGAGATTACGGGAAGTGTTAACTCAATGCGGGTTCAGCCCATGTTGAGAGATAGAATACGGCGAGAACAATCTTTCGATCAATTTATTCAAAAGATAGAAGAAAAAATTCAGGCTGGAGGAGTAGAGGGTTTTTACCGAGGCACAGATGGAGCCTTGGAGTTCAGAGGCAGAATTATTGTGCCGAAAGTCGAGGTCTTGCGAAATGAGATCTTGATAGAAGCACACAATGCACCATATTTAGCTCACCCATGAAGCACCAAAATGTATCATGACTTGAAAAAGTCGTTTCGGAGGAGAGGAATGAAGAAAGATGTAGCAGATTTTGTAAAGAAGTGTTTGGTCTGTCAGCAAGTTAAGGCTGAGCACAAGAGTCCATTAGGTCTGTTGCAGCCACTTGAGATTCCTAAGTGGAAGTGGGAAGAAGTTACCATGGACTTTGTTACAAGGCTACCTAAGTCATCAGAACAACATGATGCGATTTGGGTAGTAACGGATAGATTGACGAAAGTCGCAAATTTTATGCCTGTAACAATGACCATGTCGATGGATAAGTTAGCTGAAATATATACTCGTGGAATTATTCGACTCCATGGAGTGCCAGTTACAATCATATCTGATCGAGATCCCAGATTCACCAGTAGATTTTGGGAGAGTTTGCATAAGGCAATGGGCACGCAGTTAAGTTCTAGTTCGGCTTATCATCCAGAGACAGATGGACAGTCTGAAAGGACGATCAAGACACTCGAGGATATGCTCAGAGCTTGTGTTCTGGATATAGGTTCCAAGTGGGAGAAATGATTGCCATTAGTAGAGTTTGCCTACAACAACAGTTACCATGCCTCGATTAAGATGGCTCCCTACGAAGCACTTTATGGCCACAAGTGTCGTTCGCCCCTTTATTGGGACGATGTTGGTGAGAGGCGAGTACTTGGTCCGAAGATGATCGAGAAAACCGTTGAGCAAGTAGCCTGGATTCGAGAAAGGCTCAAGACTGCTCAAAGTCGGCAAAAGTCTTCAGCTCATAAGCATAGGCGAGAAATGAATTTTGAGGTAGGAGATAAAGTCTTTCTGAAGTTTCGACCTATGCGAGGTGTCATTCGTTTTGGGAAGAAAGGTAAGTTGCATCCTCGTTATATAGGTCCGTTAAAAGTTCTTGAGCGAGTAGGAGAAGTATCCTATCGATTAGCATTACCTCTCGAGTTATCCAGTGTGCATAATGTATTTCACGTATCGATGTTACGTGCATATGTGTGTGATCCAGATCATGTGCTTCAGCACAATAAGATTCAGATTCAGCCATATTTAACTTATGAGGAGCAACCAGTAGCAGTTTTGGACCGAAAGGTTCATAGGCTGAGGAAGCGAGATATTCCCCTCATTCGTATTAAATGGAATCGTCACGGAGAATCAGATGCCACTTGGGAGCGAGAAGCTGATATTAAAGCTCGTTTTCCAGATTTTGAGTTTTGACATATACTCTGTAAGTATGTATTTCAGTTTTAGTATTTCCGAGGACGAAAATAGTTTTTAGGACGGTAGATTGTACTACCCCATATTTTAGTAAGTCAGTAATTCAGTAAAAGTTAGTCGGTGAAAGTTATTTATTGTAATAAAAAGTTATTTACCGCAGTAAAAAGTTATTTACTACAGTAAAAAGTTATTTACTACAGTAAAAAGTTATTTACTGCAGTAAAAAGTTGAAAGGTAAATCAGTGAACTTAATTAGTAGTTTAGATAATAAGTAAATTATTTTCAATATTAAGTTAAAATTTATTTGAATGATAGAGAATAGTAGAAATCATAGTTGAAATTTTCGGTTTTCAATCGTAAATGGAATTTAAGTCCGATTTTGATTTCGAAAAATTTATTATTATTCTCTAAATTTTATTAAGCATAAAGATTTAGTTTATTATGGATTTATTTTTAAAATATTAAGAATAGCACAATTTTAATTAATTGTGAATTTTCACAATTTATGCTATTATTAGAAAAATAAAGTGTTTATGTTATTTTTAAGCATATTTTTCCTCATTAAATCATTTGTAAATGATTTATATATTATGTGAGATATTAATATAAGTTAAAAATAATTTTTGAAAATTATTTTCTGATTTTTAAAGAAAAAGCCAAGAATAAAGAAAAAAATTAATAAATTGTGGGATTTTTTTTTATTTTGTAGAATCTTAATTATTTGAAGCGTCTTAATTTTTATATTAATGATGGTTAATTTTTATGATATTTTATGCATTTTTTTAGCTGAAAAATTTAATAATATTAGTCAACTAATTTAAAGATTAAGAGTGGG